CTCTCTCTCTCTCTCTCTCTCTCTCTCTCTCTCTCTCTCTCTCTCTCTCTCTCCTCTCTCTATTTATTTATTTATCTCGCTCACTCACTCTGTCTCTCTCTCTGACTCGGCTCAACCTGTTATATCATAGGGAAGGCCAAAGCTAGTTGGCTACCGGGGTAAGATGGCAAAATGGGCATTATTTCTAAAAAGTTATAAAATTAAGCAAGCAAGATTTTTAAACATATCAAAGACGGCGAAAGATTGAAATTCCTGTTTGCTTGATTCTGAAATTTGTTAAAGAACAGTAAATGTTACTAAATCTGTTAAAGAACCTAAATTCTTTCATTTCATATAATTCTCCTTACATTATCAGGATTGTAATTTCTAATTAGTCTTATTTAATTCATCTTATTAATCTTATATTATATATACTCTTACTTTTCATAATACACATTGTACATTTCTATGAATTAACTTTGTTATAATCATAACTATTTCTGTTATAAAAAAATGTTTTCTCTATATTTTTTGTATAATGTATATTTTCTGTGTATAAAGCGCTTTAATAAATGATGCTTCTCTCTTTCGCTCGCACACTCTCAAACTCTCAAACTTTGTTTCTTTTCAGTATATGTATCTGACAAGCGATCGAGGTTTTAATTACAGGGAACTGCGAAATGAAAATTCCGTCCGCGGATTGATACAAATATCGTGGTAAAATATAAAAGAGCAGTTTATATCTATGTCTCTCATATTTTTCACGATAAATTATTGCCTTTCATTTCAACGGTCGATGAATTTTCGGTCGCGCGATTTCGATGTCTCGTCTGAGTAAATTTTAATTATATCATTACTTTCTAAATTTCGATTTATTCCGAAAAGTCATAATTTTTTTCTGCCTCTCTTCCGTTCTTTTTATGAAGCGTTTAATAATGTTTCCGGTTTTGGTTTTAACAATGGGGAGCAATGAGCAGTCGTGAATAAATGAAGGCGAAACTTTTCCGCGCACGGAACACGAGGTTAAATACGGAATTGCGACAGTATTTCCCGCGGATCGTTTAAACTCGTCCATAGCGGAATATCGCAGTTGTAATTAGCCTTCGTTGAATAGAGGTGCGCGGAGAGAAGTTGCGATGGAATCGGAAAAATACACGGGTGAATCAACGACGAATCGACGAGAACGAGCGAGAAAGAAGAAAGGGAAGATTCGGCCGGCTACTAGCAAACGACCTGTCGCTTAAAAATTCAATTTTCCGTGACGTTCGTAAGAAAGTTCGCTCCACGATGGATTTTCCGGACACCCCCCATTCCTCGATCCGGCGGGAGTGGCGGGGACGCGATGAAAGTCACCCGGAAGAGCGACGCCGCTGGGAACGAGAGAAATTTGTTCAGCTAATTCGGGCGATGTTTATTCTCCCAAAGCTAACAGCCGGCTGGACGGAGAGAGACGCGAAGACGCGTTAATTACCGGGCATGTCTAATTCGGTTTGTAGTTTTTCGGGACCGAACAATCGTCGTGCGCGCGAGCACGATATTATTACATATTACACGGCGAAGTTTTCCACTTAGGTCGCGAACGTACCCGGTATATAAAGTTTGCCACGGAAGTTGTTGCGCACGGAAGTTCTACGACTCGCGACTCAATGATTCGTCCCAATATTTATTCTCATCATCGGCCCATCTCGACACGCGAAACGTATAACGAATTGACTCAGTGGATCGCTCGAGTGAATCGCGCCGTAAAGATTGGAAACATGCTCCGAATTTCCGTGGCGGGTGCATACGCGCCCATCTTCGATAGCGTAACGAATTAGTTCGCGTCGATGTAAACCGTGGCGGAATTTCCGCTGAAAACGCAATTTCGCGAAACGGTAAAACAGCGCGAGCGCGGAATTTCCTTACATCGATAGCGGATGGTATAGCGCATGTAACATCATGGGCCCATATTATTTATCATTCCGGAACGTAGCGAGAAATTTCAGGGTAATTTATATACGGCTCGCTTGCTTGCTCGCTCGCTCGCTCGAGGCGAAGCGTGTTTATGACGAAGGAGTGAATTTCTGCTTACACGCTCACGACACGACTCCCCACCCTCCCCCCACCCCGCTCTCGATCGATATCTTCTTTGAGCGACGTCCTAAATAACGAATCGCTCGCTATTTGGAAGTAAGCAGTTTGCCATTATACTGCTCGTGAGAAAAAACGTCCGATAGCGCGACTAAACCGGCGGCACAGAAAACGCAGCTACGCGTAAGAGCAAGCTGAAATTGTCGTGCTTAACGGTAAGAATCGTCCGTCGACTCCACCATCGAGCTCTCTCGATTTAATGCAATTCAGAATACATATAGCGAATTATGAATAATTTGGAATGTCGATAGAGTTCGCCCTAAAATTATTGGCAGACTGCCTCACGACGGAGGAGCAAGAGAGATCTCTAAAAGCGCTTTATTCATGAATCCATTCATTGCATGGAAATCAACTCAAACGCGCGATAGCGAGCGCGGTATTTAAGAATACCGAGATCGGGCTCTATCTTGCGGCAATTGCGGATAAATCGCATCCGAAATTCGTCTTAACTCCGCGCGGAATGTTACGACAACGTGACTTTTCCTCTACGCTTTTTTTTCTCTGCTTCTTTCCTCTCTTTCATTCTCTTTCCCTCCTTTTTCCATCACTCTCTCTCTCTCTTTTTCATTTAGTAATTTAAAGCTCCTAAGTTTTTGTCCATCTCTTTTTAATGACGTCAGAAACGAGAAAACGCATGCTAAAAATTCCTGCGAAATAGGTCGAGATAAAAAGATATATTTACAAAATAACACATACGATCGATTAAGCACACCTCTAAAATATTCTGTACATTTTCATTATATTCTATTAACAATTAATAAATAAATTAATATAATAAAATTAGGTGAGATAATTATGTTAAAAAAAGATTACATGTCAGATAATCTAGGTTAATTTTATGGTTGTTTATTAATTGTTAGAGCAAAAGGAAAGTGTTCGGAATATTTTATAAGTATGCTTAAGGCTGATTTCTATTCGTTGTTATTGCGCCTAATAAATAATGTCTCTTTATCTTTTTGTCTCTCAAAATAGATGAAGCGCGGAAATGTCTCTGACAGTTACAATGTTGGTCTCCCAGAGTGCAAATTATTTTTTTATCGCGACAATTTGCCGGTCGTACGAGATAAAATATGGCAGATAATTATCGACATTCGCGGACACATTATAGTACACATACTTGCCAGCGATAAAGCGAATTCCGGGAAGGAAATGGAGAAATCAACATCTCGCGTTATTAGTCCAGTAATAAGCCCCGTTTTATGCGACTGTTCGGTTACCCGCGGCTCATTAAGTCGCAATATCTCATAAAAAATTAGGTTTCCTAAGGTATTTCACTCGTGATATACAGCTCGATATAATCGCGCCTGCGGCTACGTATTTGTGTGTTGGGAACCTACTGCATGTCACACGTCGATGTGGCCCACTTTACCAACACCCCCTTTGTCCGAATGACCGACAGAGTGACGTTGCACCGCTTTAAGTTTATTTGGGCCACTAGAAAATAGTACAAAAACAGAATATTCGGTAGGACAACGTGCGCTAGCTTGACATAGGACATGTCAATCTGGACGTTTGAAATCCGGTTTTTGTACTCTAGGATCTCGTATATAATCAATTCTTGATATCATCTATCAATATAATCGTTCGTTCATTTATCATAATTTAATACTAAATTTAATTTATCCGCATAATTTGAGAAGTTCGTCATAAAAAATATGCGTTCTAATTCGCAAGATATATTAATCGCACAGTGAGTTTTTTATTTTCCATATTAAGCAACACGTTCAACTTTACTCAACTACAAATAAATTGAGTGCGATAAACAAATATTGAAAATAATCCAATAAAGGTTAGTGATAAATAACATTTTATCTTTGTGATCTGACGCTTTATTGGTATTGGAAATGCGTCGATAGAATTTGGAGATGCAAAAGGGCTGGAAAGGGCAAAGTGCTTGCAGAAACAAGGAAGGCAAAATAGCGAGTTGAACGTGTAGAGGCGCCGATAGAGATTTAAATTTGGGTTCGAGAGACTATGGAGAGGCTGACAAATAGAAAAGTAAAGAGAAAATATTGACAGTTTCGAGATAGAACTCACGGGTGAAAGAGCATTACCAGTGGCGCAAATCAACACTCGTGAGACTTACAGTGGACTCGAAATTCCGACTGGGGCATATTATTGAAAAATAATTTCCTTCCAGAGACCTTGCGCGCTTCTATGCATTTCGTATCTTCTTCGAAAGAGAGCAGCTCGAGACTTTCGAGTCAATTCCTCTTTCCCGAAATACCGCGACCCGTTTTCTGACCAACTTCTCGAATTGATCACGGAGGAATCTGTATTTTTGTGAAATGGAGTTTGCGATCGGACGGTCTTGTGCAACTCGATCGCGCGCGTCGCTGGAAAAGTTCTCGCTCTCACCGGCGAGATAATAAACATGCAGGACTACACTCACCCGTCTGATGGTAGAGGAACGTTATCAGAGGCAGCGCAGCGCGCAACCATCCTCCTCGATGATCCCTCATGCTGATGTCTCTGCGAGCGATGTCGGGCGGCTCTGTTCTCACCCTCCCGACGACGACGACGACGAAAATGATCCCGTTGTCGCACTCTCGTCGTTTTTATAGACAGTTACTCACTGCAGCGTCCCGGCACAGCACAACATCCGCGTACGTCACCGTCATTCTCTCGTGACCGATCGTGAACGCCACTCGTACCTGCCCGCGACACATCACATCACGACAGTCTCGATAAGGACCGTCATGCCTCGCGGTAACAATCGTCGATCGATTGTGTCGTTTTACCGACGATGACACCACTGCTTCGCGCACCAAGTTCACGGCCGAATATTTCCGCTGCGAAATAACTCGAGATGAACGGATGACGCGTTTCCCCCGCAGAGATCTCACTTTCTCTGTGTGACTCCTCGCGCTCGTTAACGATTCGAGAGGAAAGAACCAGCCGAGAGTCACGCGTGTCGTCGGCGCGACGTCTCGTCAAGGACTGTCGCACTTTGACGGTTAATGATTGTTTTTGCGACGCGACTGTGCCGCGTGTGTTTTTGTTGGTGTTTCCGTCCGACAACCCTGATAACGGTTCGAGTCTCCTGTGTTTACGATTTCGCGACGGTTGTCGCCTCTATCGTGCAAAAAACCTAGAACACCCGAATCTTCACGTGCTCCGTCGAGATGCTCGTAGTTCGCGGATCAGGAAACGACCTTATCGCAGGCGTATCGCCGGAGTCTGCGAGAAGCTCGTTCGCGAACAGTCGACTCGCCACGTACGAATTTGCAACGGTCCTAACGCGATTACTGTCTGTCTGACGAGGCGCACATGGCACCGTCCGCGTTCTGATTCGCTCGGAATATCTGGGCACGAAAATGAGGTTGATTTTCTCTTTCTCCGTCCTCTTTCCTTCTTCTCTCTTTCTCTCTCGGAGCACTTTCGAATCGTCAACGTGTCCCCTTCCCTCGTATATCTCCGCGATTTTCCGGACTCCCGTGCAAACGCGAAACGATTCTTCGCAGCTGCGCCGCGAGCCTCATATAACTTCCTTGCCCCAGTAATTAGGACTATCCTAGAAATTTACTCGCGCTATACGCTCCTATTCATGAGTTACGCGCCGCTCTTCAAGTCCACTTAATGACTCCCCGGAGGATCCGACAGAGGACTTTTCTAAACTCACGTTGAAAGTAATTAATTACCACCGGGTATGCGCGTCTTCGTACTTTAGCTACCGCGTTAATTACGGCTCCCCGATTTACTTCTTAATTGCACGTACGGCTGGCGCGATTTATGCGTCCCGGCGCATGTGTTCGCGGGGCCTTTTGTACGAGCTCTGTTTGATATCGCGTGTCTATATAGAGAGTCCTTGTTTTTTTGCGTTTCCTCGTCAAGCGAGCTCTGAATCGCGACGAGACGACGCTTCCGCACCGTGTTAAACTATTCGATTTCGAGTACGCGTGACAAATATTTACCGGATACGAAATCGACACTATTTCAATCGCCGCCGATGTCGCCGTGGAGAATCGAGACCGTCGGGGAATACGAGTGAGAAGTATCCGCACTTTTTGACGCACCCCCGTCGAGAGCACGCACGATCACTTATCGCGGATAGTACACGCACCTGTTAAGCTCCTCCTCCTCCTCCTCGAGTCGCTGCTAGTTCTTCGGCCGCGGCGCTTAACCACTCCGGGTCAATTTCATAAAGTCTGTATACACACCACGCACGCACACACACCACGATGCGTCGTAACTCACGCGAGGCCCTCCGACAACTCTCCCTCTCTTTGCCGTTCTCTCTCTCTCTCTCCTCGGGCACACCGAGGGTGATTCCCAGTAGTTCGTTTTCCGTTTCACACCGGCCCGAGACACCGAGCCTCCCGATAGCGGAATTGCATTATTTATCAGACACGCGGCGTGCCCCGCACGGAGTTTTACGATCCGGCATTATCGATTGTCCCAAAACGATCGGTTATCCGTGGTACGCCGCTTTAATTCACTGGGAGGCACATCGCTTACGGGAACTCGGGGCGCCGTGACAGCCACACAGCCTCTCAAATATCCGCGCGACACAGAATAAATCTGTCCTCAGCAGTGTCGGTCGAGTCTTTGATCATTCGGGATTAAGGGCGACCTAGCTGTTTTCTTTCCCACGATTTTCCTCTTCTCCCACCTCCTCAGCCGATCCGCTATCATGGAGAACTGCGATTCCCCGATTTGCGCGGATTTGCGAGCAGCGCACGTGATTGGAGTATTTCTCTCTCTCTCTCTTTCTCTCTCTCGCTCTCTTGCTCTCCCGCGCGCACGAAGTTTGGTTCTCCTCGAGGTACGCCGATGATTCGATCGATCCTGGTTGAAGACGGGAGTATGCTCGGATTTTAAGCGGCCGTCTAATCCAGGCTCAAGGAACCTCCGTCTTCAGCTGGTGGCATGTCATCGCGTGCCTCCCCTTTCGTTGGCCGCGCTCCATTAACTCGAAGTGGCGTTGTACATTAATCGCCAGTTAATCCTAGATCTTCGATTTCACTGAATTTCTTTCACCGCCGCCTGCCACCGCCGTTGCACGGCATTATCATGGCCCCCGGAAACAGTTTCTCTCAAGGCAGTTTCTCTCAAGAGGTGGCTTCCTGCAACATAAAGGGAAAGACGTGCGTATTAAACGTTTAATCAATCTCGCTCGAATGATTGACTATATACGAGCCAGGGAAACGTTTCTCTCGACATCGATATCACGACCGTGAGATTCGCTGCTGTCTCTGCCGCTTTTTAATCAGAAAGTGGAAAATTAAAAGCGCGCCCGCAAGACACTTTCATCGTGGCGGCCGTGATGGAAGAGGATAATTCGAGGCGAGCGGGATTGGGCCGAAGATTACGCGGACTCGACGGTGACACGAGAGGCCGCCTCTCGCGGCGAAAATCGCCGGCAGTCGCGGGAACGAATTTATGGTTCGAATGCAAATCCGGATAACCGACGAAAGTCCAGCGTGTAGGGTACTTAAACGAATCTCGACAGTTAGAATGTGGGTACAAATCCCAAGGTAGTTAAGGCGTCTTAAGCATCTTGTATATATTCGTCCAATTCTGCACGAACGAGATGTAATTGGGTCTGCCACCCCCGTCCGTCCAACCGCGCCACCCGCCCCTCTTGTGAGCCCAAACTTCGTAGCCGAGGAGGAGATATACCATCGTCGTCTACCAGGTGCACTCTCAAGTTCTCCGGATTAAAGTGCCGGAGCGAGTGCCGCAGAGTCACTCGTATAACTCGGTAGTTTAAGATTGACCGCGGAGTGACTCGATTACGACATGCCTCGGGGTTTCGAAATTCGGTGGATTTTAGGATTTACTGCGCCTCGCGCCGCACCAGCAATCAGTCGCACCTCCACTCGCCCGAGTTTTTTTTCCATCTGACGGATAAGTGGAGCAGTCGGGTTAAAATCTGATCTAGAAAGAGAGAAAGAGAAAGAGAGAATCGTTTATTCCCCTGACCTTTCTTTTAGGATTTTCGAGTTGGAGGATCTTATTAAGTGGAGAACGAGCCACTGAGTGACGTTTATGAGGCGTGCGTTTTTGAAAGGCGATACGCGACCCATAAACAACTGGGAATATGAATTTTAGTAGGTCACAAATATATGAAGCGCGACGCTGTTAATATTTTCCACGGAAGAAAAGGCTTACGATAATTACCAGCCTGCTTATTAATATTGCCTTGTAGGCGCGCGAGCACGTATTCCTCCACGTATATATATTTCATAGCAAATCGAGGCTGTTGAAGAGAGGCGCGTAACACGCGGATAGTACGCGTGTGGATGTACATAGCACAGTGGGATGCGCGGGGAAGCGAGAGGGCTTACTGCCGGATATATACATCCAATTTTCTAGACGACACGGCTTAATAACCAAGGAACTTCCTGCGTATGCGTGTTAATTAAGGTACACACGCGTTTGCCGAATTTGGCGAACTTTAACCACTTCTACGTTGACCGAAAGTTTAAATAGCTCGGCTATACATTCGGTTGGGGCGCGGGACCGTGAGTATAGAAAGCGTACTAAACTAACGGCGAAAGGCATGACCGTTTGCATTAGACTTGCATTACCTAACGCAAATACTCGCGTTACACTTTCGAGTATGTATTCGCGGACGCGCTTAATTAACGCTTCATCTGTCGATCTGTTGTATCGTCTAAATTTCGGAAACGAGCCAACAATAACTCTCTCTCTCTCTCTCTCTCTCTCTCTCTGCTCTTCTCCCCCTGCACAGATTCGATTATTAATTAATCAAAATATTATTTACCGAGATAATGGATTACCGTAACTGCGCGAAGCTCGACATATTCATCCGTTACGGAAGAGTGATCGAGAGGGCGAGGATACGACGAACTGACGAGCGATGTTTCGACGTTAAGGACGTTAAAGGGGATGAGAAAAAGCCGACTGCTCCGACGTAGTACGGGAACTTTCTATCGAACTCGGGAGATGAAGCAATATAACGTTTCGCACGGGGAGCGAGAGGTAGTTCGATTACCCGAGGATTGGTCCTTCATCGTCGCTCTAATTCGACGGTTACGTGGCAGCCTTCCTTAGCCGTTAAGATACACGCGACTTCGCGACTGACGCTCTCGTTTCAAGAAACGATGCGTGGCCGGATAAAATTGGTCGATCTTGGATCGCGCGGTCAGATTCAAAAACCTCGAGGACACGACAAATCAGCCGTTGCGTAATCCGTCGCGAGGGATTGAAACAAAAATCAGGACATTAATTCGCCAGCGGAATGGAGAGAATGAAGGTCGAGTTTGCACCGGCTACAAAATTCAGCGAATTTTAAGTCTCACGGACTTCATAATAAACTCAAATCGGACGTTTTTTTTATTTTGCGAGTCGTTCGGCGAGGTACTTGTCGGAAAAGAAGCAAAGGAAGATAGACAGATGGGCATTGCTCGATCAACCGATAATACTCGCCCTCGGCAGCGGTGAATACTTGTCCAATTTCATAAATTTCATCGCAAATACGACAACTAACGGACGTCTCTCTCATTTGTAAGACGTGAGAGAAACAGAACAAAAGGATAATTTTCCTCGCGAATACGTGGGTGGTTCGGCAAGTACGTGGCCTACAGAAACAGCGCGAACTTGGCACAATCTTTATTACCGTCCTTCAGAGTCGTCCTTTATTGGGTTAAGTATGACAGTTCAGAGCGATCTGTCGGTTAGTCTTTGTTCGACAGTGCGCCAAAGTGAACGCCTCGAGTGTCTCCGTGCGCTCATTGTTCCGACTGTTCTCTTGTTTTTGGAGTGGAGTGGTAGGCCCAGTTTCATCGACGGTCATGAATCGGTGTTCAAAGTCCTCTAGATTGCGGGGGAATCGTGCCAAAAGGTGCGAGAAACAATGAAACTTCAGTTCAATTCTTGCTGATGTGACCAAACGCAATGTGACGAATCGCAGAGTTTGGCGTATTGTCGAGTAAGGACTAATCGACACATCACCCTGTACTGTCATACTTGACCTAACAAAGGACGATTCTGAAGTATAGCAATAAAGACATGGCGAAATCCGCGCTGTCTCTGCATAGACCGCACATTTTTTCAATTGGCCCGCGTTACATCTCACCACTCTTGTATTTGCAACGGAACTTTCACTTTGTTATTATACACGATCTCGCGACATAAAAGAATCATAAATAATTTAGCTGGCCCCCGTGAGTCTCACGGCCATGAATATTTAACGAGCGTCGCGGGCGCGTCGCACGATGCGATTAAACGCGAAATCTTTTTTCATTCGTCGCGCCGCCCGCCCCCAAATGCTATTGCACTCCGCGCGCCGGTTGACCCTCTTTTTACCCGCAACGCCCGCAATCGCCAGAAATTGGAGGCGGCCCAAACGTCCCGCCAGATGATAAGTGTACCGGCTCCATTCTCACCTTCTCGCATTTCGCGAAAGTACATTTGGCCCGTTCGGCACGGCCATCGCGTGAATTAATAAGCCCGCTACTGGCAGCACTGCCGTTCCTGTTGCCCCGCGGGGGCCCATAGTTAAGCGAAGAAGAGCAGTGGCCGCAGTATTAACGCAATACCAACTGAGATTCGGCAGAGCACCAGTGAGCCGCACAGATAAACTCCTCAGTCGTTGCGAAATCGCCTTGAAGGCGAGATACGCGCTATCGTTGCACGCGAGCCGTTCCAACGCTTTGCGAATTATGTCTGCGAGCTTGCATGTAATCAACGAATGAAACAATCGGCTCACGCCGCGTAATCATAAAGTTCGTAACTGCCTTTTCGCACGGTCAACGGTGACTAACCAGCCGTGCGGTTGCCAAAAACCGAGCCACTATCGTTAACACAACCAGCTCAAAGGGAATTTTATATGAGTTTATAGGGCGAATCCGTCACGCCCCACTATCTCTTCGTCACTATCACATTTTTCCGATCCTTTGAACGTGTTTTATCTTTGACGTTCTCTGACGCTGCTCCAGTTCTCGGGAATAATTCAAGAAAGGGTTACCCCGTGTGTCGCATTGAATTACTTAATCCTATCGTCACCTTAATAGGGTCTCACTGGTCACGTTGGCAGTTAATTAATCGCAGGAATGAATCTTCACGATTCTTTCGTGATCATTCATTCGTATTCTGTATTATAAGTATTTAATACATCTGCACAATTCTAAAATAACACTGTCCTGCTCATTCTCCAAATATGCATATCGGTATGTGAAGATGTTTATACGTATATACACACAGGAAAATAATGCAAGTATGAAACTAATGAAATCACTAAGGTATTCACTCTTGTTACTGTGATTACCGGACGATAACGTGGCACAGAATAGAGGCTTTCCGACGGGAGACATGGGGATACGATTGTAACAACGGAGCAATGAAATAACAGCGCGGATTGTCGTTAGTCGCGTCCGCAGCGTCGCAGCTGCGCTAGCAGCTCGGCGACTAGGTGCAGCAACCCTTTGGTACAACGTGAAAACCGCGACACGTCCTTAATTGCTCAGCGCTTGCGTGACGTTTTCGTCACTCGCCTCGGAGCTCGTAAAATCGTCACTGGGAAGAGCGGATCGACGGGACGGGAACGAGATGGACGGACGGATACGTCGACATCGCGGAAATCCAGAGCGCCAAGTTTGGATGTTACACGAAACGTCGATCCATCCACGTGGATCCCCGTGGTGTTGCAATCGATCACCGGCTCGACGATGCGGCGCGATCCTCGCGCGACGCCAGACTGACGGAATACTCTAGTGACAGACGGCCCATGCTTTCACTAACGAACTTACGTTGCTATCGTGACTGAGACGTGTCTTATCGTCGTGTGCGACGGGTTCAGTTTAGCGCCGCGATATATAGAGTGTTATCACTGCGTGGCGGCTCGTCCGCGACTGAGAGAGCTTTCGGACCAACCCCGTCCGAGTTTCCCGGGTCGGCCGCGGCAGCGCTGCGTAGCCGAATCCACCCCCGTTCTCTCTTAACCAACCCTCCTCTGTTCTCCCCTTCTCTCGCCCGTCCCGTCTCGTCTCTTTCTCTTTCTCGCGCCCCGCAACCCCCCCGGCGCCCTCCCTTTTGCTCCCCGGGACCCCGTCAGCTTCCGTTGCCCCACGACAAAAACAATTCCCTCTCCGTCTCTCCT